GCTGGAGAGATGCTCGATACATACCCTCCCTTCAAAAAGCGAGAAAGTGTCGGGTGCAGACCATGCACCACAAGTGACGACGGCCTTCACAAAATGTTAATGTTTTCTGCCAATGAAATGATTAGCCTGTTGCAGTTGTATTCTATCATTGTCACTAATTACAACTATCATTTACCAGAAATCAGCTATCACTATGAACAACTTCTAACCAGATTTACTTGGAGGCCGTCGTCAGTTGTGGTGTTTGGTCTGCACCCGACACTTTCTCGCTTTTGAAGGGGAGGTTAAATACAAAGGTGTCTACATCAAAATGTACAAGAGATTGAGCGCTTCCAGACTACATCATAACCTTCAAAAATAATCAGCAAAAAATCAAAGAACCATGCCTGAAAAAGAACGGCGGATAATTATTGCTCAACCTAATACCATGCTATAGCTATATACGCCGCTGTTTTTCTGAACTGTTCTTGTCTATGGTAGAGTGTTTCAATTCATTTAAATTAAGGTTCCGGTTAATCTTATATAAGCATTTTTAATAAGCTATTCTCCATGCTGGAATTTGTTCAGGAAACTACGGCTGAAAGCTTGGGCATACACGACTTCAATGAACATCTTATGTTTAGTCCAGTTTTGATAAACAGTGCTTATTGGCTGGAAGTAAAATATAGAGGGGTCGTTTGATCAAGCCTTCAAGCTAATTTCCACCGTGGTAAAAGTTTTAAAGAAAATTGTTTATTCGTGTAGTGCAGGAACCCTCTGATTAAGCTCGTGCAAGGTATATGTGATTAGATATTCATCCATTTATTTATTCATCTATCCATGACATTACGGTGTTTCATTGCGCTGGTGAAGCCTTCAATATCAGAATTATTGCTTGGTCAGGGGGCTTTCATAGTCGGTCGTCCGATCGCAACGACCGCACATCATTAGATACGTATCGATCGTCTGAATTTTGACAATCTCTGTCGGACGATTTGGCGACTAGTAAGTTCTAATGCTGTGCTATCGTTGTGGTGGTTGCGATAGACGACCAACTGGCCGATGTCAGACTTTGCGATTGGAGCGATTTTGCACCAATTGCAGGAGCGACGGATCGCTTGAGCGATGCGAGCGACGGGAGATTTACGAACTGATGGCGCCGAATTATCGGTGGTCGGCGGTGTAAATCTCCCGTCGCTCGCATCGCTCAAGCGATCCGTCGCTCCTGCAATTGGTGCAAAATCGCTCCAATCGCAAAGTCTGACATCGGCCACTATGCAGCACCATCAAAGTTGTTGTAAAAGACCATCGTGATTAAAGGTGTTATTTTTCAGATAGGCAACGTGATGGCACACCGCGATCATTTGACTCGCCCAAGCAGTAGTAGCGTAATCTGTCCGTAGTATTTCTATTGTTTGCTAGCTGGCTTTGGTTGTTATGCCAGACCGCGCAATGTTTGACCGCCAGTTTGCAGCTAAGTAACATTAACCTGTTCGTTTTGTTTTTTTTTTCTCGTTACTATCCTCTGTTTTAATTTATTGTGATTTTTTAAAACGTTTTTCCATGTACTTCGTTCCATTTGACTCCATTGTGTACTCTTCTCATTTCTTGTCAGTAAATTTTGTATTGAACTATACTTTTTACTCCTGTATAAGTGAGATTAGCCCATTTGGCTTTTAAGCGCGTTAATTGCGTTGTGATTGTTTCATTCGTATCCTTTCAAGCGATTTACATTTGTTTTGTGATAGAGCCGATGAGCTTTGTTTTCACAGAACAGGATCAGCTCTCGACATTATCAGCAAGTTCTTTGTATAAAGTTGACTGCTTCAGTGAACAGATGCTCTTGATTTCAACTTTACAGCTTACAGTTCATTTTTGCAGGTTTATAACCCCGTTTGTCTTTGTTGTATTTGTTCAGATTAGTTCTTACATTAGAGTCGAGTGGACGTTGAAAATAATTTGTGTCTCATTCTGGAAAATCTCATCTCAATGTGTAGTGTCTTGGCTAGTGCTAGGACCTAGGACAAATGCAGATGTTGTGGTTCATCTATGTTACCTCGTTGACATTAGTAGCGCTTTTTAATGAGCCCCAACAAACCTTGTTTAATTCTTTGTGAATTTGACATACTAAAACAATACTTTCTAATTTATTAATTTTTTATGGCTAACACTCCGACTATTGGTTTCGTATTTGCTTCGTTTACTGTGTTGCGTTACTGCATCGTTTCTTCAATTGTTCTGTGACATTTTTGATGTTCATTGAGCGGATCGTTGTCAAACGAGTACGCTCATTTATAGAATTCTCTTCAATTCTTTTATGTATCATTAGTATGTGGGTGACAATAAGACGTTCTCCTTCAGTGTGTGCCCGACTGAAAGGGCCGTTGTTCGGTTGAATATCGCGAACTTATAGCATTTGTAACGGTTTCTTTCAGTTTATGATTTCTACGACAGCTTTTGCAGAGTCCAGGGTACTTCATTGCTGGTGGTTTTAGTGATAAACGAGAATGTTCGCACACTATATTCCTCCAGGCGAGTGAATTTGAGTGTTGTTTGCTCTGCAGACAGTTGTTTATTGCTGTTTCATCGAAAAGTTGTCGTTTAAATGATATTTTTCAGAGTTGGCTGAATTGGTGCAAGCGGGCGTTTTTGTGCCGCTAGTTGGACCGAACGGTCGACCCAATGGACGAAACCCACCGTACACTTTACCTTTAGCCCACCTACCTATGATGCATATGGCAGCTGCTCGTGTAAGCTTCCTTTCTACATCTTTTCTTTTTCATGTGTGGAGACATGACACTTTGTGGATACGTTCCATATTTATACTTTTCATTTGATTCTCCTCGAAACAGCTTCATTACACTGCTTCGATGTTAGCAAGTTGCAATGAGTTGTTCTAATCGCGTTGGTCTGGGTCAGATATAGTACCCGAGTTGACTGAATATAGCTGCTTTGGGGTCATTCAAAACAGGGCATATAAAACCGCCAGTGGTAGGTAATGCTAGGACTAAGCTCAGGAGAGGAGAGAAAGGCCAAGCGAACAAAAGCTGCTCACATCCTTCCCCAGAATCGCTTCTCTTCCACAGGCTTGGTCCCAGGTTCTGTAATTCGTTCACCACTTGTATGTCCCCCTTCCCCAACGACATAAGCGGCCAAAATATTATAAATCCCAATCATAAACCTGCGTTCATGCATACTTGACGAAATGGCGCATTTTGTTCTTCTAAGAGCTGGTGAATTTCTTATCCTTTTACGCAGTGCGTTTGCACGGTTCAGTTCTAGTGACGATGAACCTGGGACTTTTATGTTGACTCTTCTCCCCTGGCGAGGATCCTGGCCCTTTTCCTTTAGGGGCATTTGGTGAGAGTTAGGCACAGTGATCGCCCGGGCATGGTTGAGAAGATGGGTGGCTTGTGTGCTTCGCCAGCGGAACATGCATTCATTGGGTCATTTTCCCATCAGGTTTCCAAACTGCGACCCGCTTGCGGTATTAGGGTCATGAAAAGAAGCCTGTTTTGTCTTTTGAAGATTTCACTGTCATTTGGTCTCCTTTTTGAATGGAGCTCGGTTACTGCTAGGAGAGGGTGAAGGAGTCATTCAAAACAGGGAATAAAACTACGGCAATCATTTTTTCATTACAAACTCTTGGAAGAAGTTGTTTTCACCTTCACGCGGTGGAGTGGAGTGGCCTGATTTACTACCATCCCTCGACGAATGGGGGAACTTTCGGTCTCAAGAAATCCTAAGCCCCTTCGAACTTGCAAGCTTGATCCGCTTCATTCTTGGTGCTGCTGAGGCGTTAATTGGATTTTATGCGAAGAAGCAATGCTGTGGCAAGAGATGGTGGTTTTGAAGGTGGAGAAATATCGGAATGGGTGAAGTAACCTTCTCCGTTGTTCACTCTTACTCCAAAAACGGTCGGTACTAGCGTAATTAGGGAAGGACAGGCGGCAGTTCGATTTTAAGAGCCTCAAGGCTCAAGCCAGGTGAGAGCGGGGAGGGCTGGGGCAAAGAAAATTGCTCACGCGCTCACTTTCGTGAAATTTATTCCTAAAACTGAGTGTTATTGTAATCCTAGCATGTTTCTCCGCTTCATTCACACGCGACCGCTGGGGTCGCTCATTTTTCCAAACGTACGGACTCAGGCGCCTTCTCGCTGTGAGGGTGCACATGAACAGCACCACACCGCCACTGTTACGTGAAGATTACTTCATCTGAATGTTTGTATTACAACGAAATGCTTCTCGCAGATCTTACCATCAGTGCCCCAGATTACGTGTGTGGAAATGTCATCTTTTTCCAAGATGTGAACCCTCTAATTTTATTTGCGCCCTCCTGTTCTACGGTTTTCCTGTTTGAAGCAGGCTTCCGGTGGAGCATGAATGTTACGTTTGATCTCTTTCATTGCACAATTGATGAGACGTGAGAAAATTGCAGACACGAACACCACAGAATAGTTCGCATCATTTCCCGCAATGGGTGAGGACAGAACATATGTGTACTAGAGCCTCTATGTGCACTAAAGTGTTTCATTTCTTATAAACTTTAGTAGTTTTGAAGTATTGCGTTTGTTGACAGTATTTTCACCGTAAGGAGGTAGCTTCCGATAAGCAATGAGACAAAGTTTTACCACCTCCCATTTTTCCAAAAGCCCCGACAGAATAATGCTTTTTCTCTTGATTGCGTAAATTCTCAGAAGATTTGGCACTTTTCAGTTAGGAACCTCAGTTATTTGTGGGAATTGTTTAAAAAGCAGCGCTGTTTTATGCTTTCCATGAATCGCTGGCGTGAGAGCCCTACTCACGATTGGAAGAAGACCGAAAAAATTTTTGGTTGTTTTGGTAAACAATTTGAGAACCAGGAGGACCGCAACGTGTTCAAATTGCCGCCGTACACCTGTCACAAATGTTGACAGCGAAAACGCTCTCACTTGGTTCTCAGCGTGCCGTAATTTCGAACTTTTTGCTAGACCTTTTACCTTCTAAAACAGCATTCCATCGTTATTTCATCCTATACCGATCGTTTCGTCTTTGTTTTTCAAATTTGAGCGCTTTGATTCGATTCTTTCAATGCGTCGTCTAGTACGTGATGCTCCCCCCCCCCCTTGGTTCCGTCCACTAATCCGAACTGGTCACAAAAAACTTGATTTTCTCGCGTAAAGGTTTGCATATCATCTCTAGTGATGGCAAGCAGCTTCTTCCTATGGGGATGGAAGACAGCAACTTTCCGTGGACGGCTCCTCCTTCTTACTTTTTTGATGTAATAGGGTTTAGAACTAGATGAATGAATTATTGAAGTGCCCTCTAAACATATGGTTTGGTTATTGGCCAGTGATTCCTCGTTGTGTAAACTATTCATCCATCTCATTGCTTTCGGTACGGCCTCGAATATGGATGAAAAATGATGAAAATGAAACATTTTAGTGTTCTATTCTGCTGAGTTTTATGCTTATCGCTTGGGTCATTTGGAGGCAGGTTCATCTTCATTTCTCATCACGTCTGTGTGTTTTTTTCAAAAGATTAATTTGGGATGTTTTGATATCAATTGTCTGCCCATGGTTTCTGGCAACAACCAGTCGAGAAGCTCTCATAGCTCGGGCCATGAACCATGTTCCTGCAGTAGATTCTTCTGTTGTTGCCGTTTGATTCTGGTTATGAGTGACTGATTCAGTTTTAAATGTGCGAGAAGTTTTTATTTCTCTCTCCCTTCTATTCCTCCATTATTCGCGAAACCGACTGCGCGGCTCTACTGGAGCACGTGGATTTCATTATGGGACAGGGTGTTCCAGAAAACGTGCGGTGTCAGAAAGGAAGGGCACATGTCGAAGTGACCATATTAAATGACCATACATCGCTAGATCAGCGTCAGCCGTGACTTTCGCAGTTCTTCAAAAATTTCGCGACCCCCCCCCCACGTTCTCCTCCAAAACGGCTGTTGAAGGGGGGGGGGGGGGTAAATAAACGGCAAATTTTCTGAATGCGACATTTAGTGAATGCGACCCCACTCCCCAAAACCAACCACACGCGATCCTCTCGCTCGAATAGTGCGGACGCAGAGTTGGCCCTGCGCTAGATGTGTTTTTAGACGCTGATCTTCAACCTGCATCGCAGACCTAGGAAATGTGTCTTCGGACGTAGTACGAAGCGTAATACCACCGTGGTAACTTCGATTTTCGATTTCCCAGGCGAGCCCACTACCGCTGCCATTTTGCATTTATAAGTACAAGTTAACTGCTTTGCTTTTATTAGCAATTCGGCTCAATTACGTTGTTGTTTTCAACCGTTGGCCCAGGATTGCCTCTGATGTTCGTGGCGCATGGGTCTGCACTCTCGACAAGCGAGCATGGTATTTGCGCTGAGTAAGGCAAAGTACCCAGAATCCCGATCTCTAGATCATTTGAGTGTACTGCGTTGCATCAGGGTAGCTCGAGTTGAATCACGAATGAGCTTAGGTAGCTGATTTGGCTCTAACTGAAAGGAGCAATGCTGCTCTGACTTATTATTATCGGCTTTGTCTTACACCAAATATCTCACACATCACAAAGCACACGCTGTTCATCACTTACTTGTTGTATGTTCATTATTTCTGGGAGCAGAAGGCTTACTCTTTCTGTGAATTGCTTTGGTCAGTATTATTATAGTATATACTTTTCAGCATGCGTCGTCAGCATGTCCTGGAGAAGGGCCTCCACAGATGCGGAAGATGTTTATTGGAGGCCTCAGTCACGAAACGAATGATGATGCAGTCAGTTGACATCAGATTTTCATTTTGAAAGTCATTTCCTCTGTTCTCATGGTGAATTGATTGTCTTGCAGTTGCGTACCTACTTCACGCAATGGGGACCTGTAGTTGATGCCATCGTGATTCGTGATCCTACTACGAAACAATCGCGTGGTTTTGGTTTTGTCACTTTTGCTACCATAGCAAGCCTCGAAGCGGCTATGATGGATCGACCCCATGTTATCGCTGGGAAAACGGTGTGTTTCTAATGTGTCATCGTGACTGAAAATACTTGTTTCACAATTCTACTTTCTAATTGGCTCTATTCTGTGTAATTTTTTAATGAGTGAGTGAACTTAATACATTTTGAATAGTTTGTTTCAGGTGGATTCGAAACGTGCAATTCCTCGTGAACAGATGACACCAATGTTCCCGCCACCGTTCTTCTCGTGTGAGCAATCACCCGGTTGCAAACTTTTGTTATCAGGTGAGCTATAGTTGTTCCGCTGTCACAGCTTAATAGCGCTTCTACCGTCTACCAGTTGATCACCGTGCCATTAAAGGAGGATTCCACGATAAAGGGGTGACAACAATCGGCATCGAAGGATATGCTCCCGGCGATTTAGCATGGCGTTCCCCACGTCCCAATTGACGCCCTTTGGCCCGATACGCCCTCTTGCGTGTTGTCTTGTGTCTGAGTCTCTGGCCATTCAGCAGGGCGAGAGTGTATTAGCGTTGAAGAGGGCACCATCGATGAGTCGCATCAATGCGGAAATCAACGGACAAGGAAGGGTCTCCTTTCTTGGGTTCTAGGCCGTTTTTCTCTGCATTTTCTTCTTTCGTGCATCACTGATTTGCTCTAATTTAATTTCCATAGGCTGCCTTCTTAACGTAACATCCGCCTCCAGAGAAATCGTCCATGGGAACCTTACTCTTCCTTTCCTCACATTAGGGCGCTATTTGCGACTACTAGAAACAGTGTACCAAGTTTAATTTGTGAGAATAATGTTCCCGTATGGAAACATTTTTCGAAAACCACACTTTCTGGCCAGGATGGTATGGTGGGCGTAGCCGACGGGGTGCATGGCAGGCAGTGTGCCCGGGGTGGCCACCTAGTAGGTGGGTACCCGACAGGAGGCCCGTCGCGCGGCAAGAAGGCATAGTCAGCGTACTGTAGTGATTTTCGCGTCAAGTTAAATAGAATGTACCATTGTACGTCCTACATCGCACATCACGCGCTGCGACTCGTCCGCTGACTCTGCCTTCTTGCCGCGCGACGGGCCTCCTGGGGTCGTGTATTAGGCAACGCATCGAAGTAATCAAATTTGAGTTAAGAATAGAGGCAAAACGATCAATAGGGAATGCAATTGAGGAATGTAGAGATGAGAGAAGATCGGAAGATGCTCTTTGAAAATCTGGCTCAAAATGCTAGCCATCGGCACTAGGTGATAGCTCACCCGGCACCTATGTTAAAGTGTAGGCGGCGACTCTCCTTGAAGCTGGCTTATTCAACATGCTATTACGTATGTCCCACGATCACATTGTAGAGGCGACATTGCGCCAGCGTCCGCACCTATCTATTATAGAACGGAACGACCCTTCACGGTAGCATTGCGGCTCTTCTACTAACTACGAGTCATAACGGGTTGAAGTAAATTATTCCTTATTGTGAGGTCGGGTGTAAGCAAACTCGCGCATTTGTGCTTTTTGTGCCAGGAGTATGTCGCACATATGTGCACTTGTGAGAACCAGGAGTGTTTGTTCGAAATTTCGATTTTCCATCCTTTTAGGGCTCAATTGGGACTACCACAGTGTTGATACTCTCCGTATATATTTTGAGAAGTTTGGATCTTTAGATCAGGTTTGTCTGCCTTTGTGCTTACTTAAATGGCATTCAATTCAGCCAATTTTTCCAAGTTTGTTTCAGAGTTTATAATGTTCAGGTGGAAATTCTCGGAGATCGCCGAGGTTTTGGATTTGTTGTCTATGAAGACAAGCAAAGCGCTGACAAATGCTTGAACGAAAACAACGGCAGGCACATAATTGCATCAAAGAGAGTGGACGTGAGGGTCAGTGTATAATTTGATCATGGTCAAAACCAGAATCGGAATTTGGAACTATCGTTATTTTCGTATTTGGCTTGTTCCTTTCCATTTTCCTTTATTTTCTTACAGTATTTCTACGTAGTTGCTTGATACACAGATATAGTGCACAGTGCATTAGTACCCCCCAGGCTCAACACTTGGCTTAGTCAGGTGTTTACCAATTACTTGTTTGCAAATTCGATGTGTCGGGTCTGGTCGTGCGTATATGCTGTCTAGAGTTGTATACAGCTAAATGTGGAAACTTTGTTGACCAGAACGAACCGCTCAGGAGACCGACGTGGAGTAGAAAGAACAAAAGGGCGGAGCCTAAAGCCTTATATGGTAGTGCTCACATGGATGTTATGAGATCTACAAGTTTTTGAGATAGGGTAGATCAAGTACAACGAACGAATTGCGAAATGGGTTACTGTACAACAGAGAAGATTACAGGTTAAGTGAACATAGATTGCTGAGAACAGTAAGTATTTTAACAAAATACAACATATAGCTCGATCCCAGGTTAGGTCACAGTTTTTCAGTAATAGAATTTGCACGCCTTTCAATACTCTTCTACGTCGCAATCTTATTCCTTCAAACTATAATGTGTTCAAAAGATCACTGGATAAGTACATCTGATCTGTCCTTGGTCTCCAGTTGTATTTTATTTTATTTTGTTCTATACGTTCGTGTTGATGTTGAATAGTTTTGTAGTGTATTGTTACTAACTTAATTGTTCCACATGCCTACTGGCATGTCCGTTAATAATAATAATAATATTTACATGTTGACAGATGCAATCAACGCACTGGATTTCAAAAATGATCTTTCAAATTTGCAGCCTTTCCCCAAACGACAATCGACATATTGGCGTCGTAATCCAGATGCCCCTAGTAGTGGAACAACGAATACAGCAGCACCACCTGCTCCACCAACGCTTTACGATCAGCTTGCTGCAATGAACTTGAACACTAGAGCCACGCAGTATGACGAAGACAGTAGTTATGGCGGCACAACTACTGAGGTTTGTTTGGTTTAGTTTCCCATTTAATTATGGCCACAAGGCTGCTTAGCATATTTTTTCGATTTATTGAATCAATTTTATGAGACTGGATTGCTATGAGAAGATCTGTCAGGGAAGAGATGTGTTGGGAAAGGGGGCGCTATAGGACTCGTCGCGGTACGGGTTCCTTCAAGCGATGTGCTCTTATTAAACTATTCCTTGTTTTTTAGCGACTGGTAGAGCAGCGCCACTCTTCGGAGAAATTGGAGCAAGCGTTTACGGGCTACTTGAGCTCTGTCTTTTACATCACCTTAATATGATGTTTCCGCCTGCGCTCTCTCGTCCAAACAGAAGCTCAAAACTGCTGCGATCTCACTCATTCAAACTCTGCCACGCAGTAATGTATCATCCCCCTGGAACTTTTCATTCCAAGGCTTAGGGCTTTCGCCTTCTTCCTTGAGATTCGTAGCCGAACCAGGCGCCGCTCTCTAATTGTCTGTACAGTAGCCATTCCGGCTGGACCATTGAGCAAAATCAAGTAAAGCATAAACGTGCTTTAACAGCAGTCGTTGCCACAGCAATCGTTTATTTAGTTTTTTTCATCTCATCCATGGGGTTTCCATGATATTTATTTGGCTCTGGTTCCAATGAATAAGATTGTATTAGGCTGAATGAATGCGTAGAACATAGATGGTTATAGTGGGAAGATACACCGCTACTGCACCCATGATCCCTTGTCGAGACTCGCCTAAGTTGGCAATTCCTTTCAACCCTTCGGATTCCCCCACATGATGCCGTACTTCTCATGAATGCTAAGCACAGGAAATTGTTAATCGGCTGGTTCCACATTTTATTAGTGTAGAGTCAAATACGCCTTTGCGTGTTCCTCGTTCTTAACTATAACGACTTTCTGAACTACAGGGTGGGCCAAAATTATGAGGACCGCGTGCGCGCGCGGTCATATCCACTTTTTTCCGAGTCGCTCCATTTTCATCTCCTTTTCTGTGCACTATGTGAGAGGGTACAATGTCTTCTTCCTAATGAAACCAAATTTCATGCAGTTCTCAAAACTAGTGAAATAACAACTCTCCTTACGTCAGTCCTCAAATTGAACTCGCTACGAGCACGATCTAATACATTCTACCTTCTTCGTGCAACAATCGTAGTAATCGTCCAATATTTTGATCTTAGTGCGTTTGGATAAATTTTAATCACTGTCGTATCTTTTTTGATCATATTTGAATTTAGGATGATTGCAAGTCGAGTGAACATGGCAGCTCATCATCAGCTATTGATACCAATTCGCCTAGCAATACATCGCAGTAGCAAGATTACAGTCTAGCTTCTACGGTTGTATGTGCGGAAAGCATCGAACGCCATAAACTCTATTTTTCTGTCTGCCTTAAACTCGCGAGGTTTCTGCAACTCAGGCGTGAGTTGCATTTGAGAACGTGTGAAGTGTGCTCCGATCACGGCATATGTTCTTTTAGATATATGGACCGTTTTGTTCTGTAAAAAGTCCCTTTGCCCAAAGTTCAGTCCTTATCTGACGTATATTTCCCTTAATTTTCATGGTGTTTTCTGTATTCATCATACTCGTTTACTATCATTGTTTAAGTTATTCCTTATTATGGTTTTAACATCTTTAATGTCTTTAAACTCTTGTTCTTTTTTGGGTCCTCGAAGTCTTCTTTTGTTTCCAATAGTATAACTATACTTTCTCCTTATCAAATGTTTGTTTTTACTTCCATTACGCCAGCACTATGATTGCATTTTCACCCCACGCACACGTGCACACTCAATATCATAACAAGTAACCTACATTTACTTTGAAAAGTCGTAGTAGTTGTGGTCGTAGTAGTTCATGCAACAGTTATTTAGTATTTCGTTGTGTGTTATTAGGTTGAGAAGATTGCTTGTCAGAAATGCATTGTCTGCTATCCTTCTTCCCTTGTCGTTTAGTCGTTATCGATGTTGTCGTAGAAGACGTTTTTGCTTCTATAGGGTTAGGTTAGGATCAAATTAGTTTCTGAAAAATTTTATTATGTTCTGTGAGAGGATAATGCTCAGTGAAGTGACGTATAACTGGTTACTTCCCTTGTGCTATGATAGGAGAGTTGTTGTCATTTTACACTTCTTTTCTTCTTCTTTTTTGGAGCATTTCACATATCACATATGTTTATTGATTTTATTCTGGTAACGAGCGCGTTTGTTTCGTTTCTTTTTTTCTGTGTAACTTTCTGCGCACCCTCATCATTCTCTCGGTCACCGACCACTCCCTAAATCACTCGACGCTTATGCGCTGGAAATTCAGAAATCCAAATTTGATTTTATTTTTTGGGTCTCGTCCAGCAAGGGGAGAAGCCTATGTGCAGCACATGTTGCCGCCTACAGAAATTCCAATCTTTGTAGTTGAGGGGAATTCTTGGGAGCGTGAACCATTTCGCTTCCCCTCCTGCACCCACCCAGAGGCTTCCCTCTCTGAGAAAAAAATATTGGATCATTTTAGGCCATGCATCAACTGATGCACCACATCCTCCCTTTCTGCATGAGACTCATATTTTTTTCAGAAGTAAACCAAGGCTGTCCAAGGATTACTGGTCAGAATTGGATACCACGTTTTGACATAGGGGATAATGTATCATTGCCTTTTTGGGAGCTCCACATAAGCGTCGTTTCACCCTTGTTCATGTTAGTAAGTGCATTGATTTTGATCATGTAACTCTATTTCCTGTTGTGTAGTGCCGCAGCAGTGTACCGGTTAATTAGCCAGTCCTGATCGCAACGTTTCTACGCTTCATCCACAGTTCAAATTGTGCACTTAGGGCGTACTCCTCACCCCACCCTTCAAGTTATTTAGCGGCTACGGTCAAGAAGCACTCGTATTCGCAGCGTGTCTTCAGTGAGATTTTGAGATGATCGTTAGAGAATTGTCTCTCTTTTCTCAATCTGCTTACAAAATCAACTTTCAACTTAGTCGAGCGCTTTCATTCGAACTTTGGCCTTCCTTACTGTCCCTCTCTATCTGTCATCGTCTCTTTGCCTATCTATTTTTTATTGCAAATTCTGTCCTGCTCCCGGAATCCGACTGGTTTTTGTGTTCTCTATTGTTTCTTTTTTTCTCATTTTGTTTTTATATTTTATAAAATGATCATCATAGTTAGCGTTGTTTCGTTTTGAAAATTGTTCACCACGTTGTCGGAATGTTCGACATCTATCAGTGCATCAATAGTCGTTTCTGAACGTCCTAGTAATGTTGATCTGGTGGTAGAGTGTTGTGTTATTCTTCGTTTTTCGCTGAATTTTCATACATTGTTTTTTTTTTCAAATTTTGGATGCCGTTTTTGATTTGGTATGATGAACTGATCCGTGTAATGCTAATGCGAAATGCCTTATTCTGACTTTCCTATCCGGTACCAGTTTCGATCATTGAATTGTTCCGTCTCTCTCATTGTGCGATATACATACATACATGCATTTCTGTCCATGATTATAATGTTCAACGACATTGCGATCGCGCCGTTTCAAGACGCTGCTCAGATTGTTGAAGTTTTATATTATTAATTTTTCGTCAGGTAATAAGATTTTGGTTTCTGGTCAGGTGTTTCTTCAACACGTCGCACGCTTAATCGGGTACGAGATCTGGTCCTCTAAAATGAATTTTTTTCATTTTTGCAGCATTTCAAATAATGCAGGAATGCCATGTTCTCCTATAACCTTGGAGAATAACATATGTTTCCAGGACCGAATAGCTTTATTGTTTGCAAATTTACAACGTTTGCAGTAATGTATGTACAATGTACAATTTCCTGTTATTCACATTCCCAGCACTTCAACAAACAATAGAGCAAAACGCTTAGACATGACAGCTTTTGAATGGTACATTTGAAAACATTTCATACAATGAAAAGCCTCGGATGCACAACATTTTGTGGTAACGCGTTTTGTACGGGGCGGGGGGGGGTGGGCGCATGGGATTTTGTGAGTGCTTTATAGCAATCGACAGCCTTCTTCGAAACTACCATTTAGGGTCTTAAGACTTCAAGAAGCTTTCGAGCACGAACGGAATATTGTTTTCTAGGATATCCTCGATGATCCTTGCCTTGAGTTCCTTGATTGAAACATTTTCAACCACTTCTGAAAACAGGTGCCAAACATTGACAGTGGAGTTACGCATGAAGATAAATGAACAAACGTAATGTACCACTCGTTTGTCCTCCTTGCGAAATGCGTATACGAGAACACCTTTGGTCCGGCAAATCTACGGATCCATTGACGCGATTGCAGTCTTCGACCATACAAGGCTTACTGGCGGCCCCTCTTGGATTGTTGTGTAGCGAAGACAACATATACAACTCTCTTCTGTCTCTGCATTTCAAAATGGTGCTTCACATCTATCGTGTATTAGTAGCGGATAGCTCCCTTATTTCCACAAGCCCGAACTCAACGAGCAGCCTCGGAACCGGACGGGGTCAAGTCGGGACTTACTATCAATTCCCGGCTTGCAGGGAAGCGGATTCCTATTCGGTTTCCTTGGAGTGTAGCGTGGCGATGAGAAGGGACGAAGCTTTATTAGGGCGACGAATAACAAGACTGTCGCACAGGAGAGTATCAGCGAGAGCAATTAGAAAAGAACTAACTAGTACTTTCTGGGTGGCTATTTATAGGGGGAACTCTCGCTCAAACGGTAGTTTAGGGGCGAGTGTGTATGTAGGTCAAGGAGGGTCCAGGCGGACCACACGGCTTGGTGGTCAGCCTTAGACCTACCCGACACGGTCATACGGTAGACCATACAGTATCGGCCTACCGTGACATAAGGCTTCAATTTCACCTCTTTTGAGTCTTTTCCTCTTCAAATCTTCGGGAACTCTTACTCGATTCTTTCGCAATGTGCCGATATAATGTGTCCTCTGTGCCACCAATGTGTGAGCCAGTTATCGGCCGTGACTGTCCTTCGTTTGCCAGGGTACGGAGCCATAAGAGATAGGACAACCTGCTGCGATTCTGGACAGGTTCGAATTATTATAGCTGCTTTCTGTCGTTAACGATGAATTTCGAAGTGTAACTCCTCGATTGCATAATTTGTACATGCCGTATTTGTGTAGTTCCTGTGAATGTATTGAAAGAAAGTCACACGATCGCAAAAAGGGACTGCACTTTCGTTAACACATATGTACAGTAGCGGTCCAAAGTTTGGAAACTTTTTATTTTTGATCTAGCGCGGCCGACACACAACGAAATTGTCCCAAATTTAGATATTCATACAAAATCGAGTTCAGAATACGACGGGAAGAATAATTTCCAAAACCTATAATCATATTTGAGAAATAAGATTTTTTTCAAGTAATGGCGCGTCAAAAGTTTGGAAACTTTTTGTTTCCCTTATCATTATGATTCCTACTCTTCAATGTTTACTTGTTTCTGTTAATTTTAGTTAACCATTGAGCAATGTGTAATTTCAAAATGAATTCATATGCAAAGGAAGCAGTTTTCCATGGGGTCCTTTTTTAAACCCTACAATCCGGAATACGAAATTGAAACTGTTTCTTAGTAGTTCAGTCTCTACGGAAGCAATATTATCGAATGTTTCTAGCGTTATTGGAGTCGAGTAAGCATAAGAAGAATGATCATTCACAAAAAGTATCCTCACAAGAAAATTGGCCCTCCTCAAATACTTCGAAGGTGGTTGGCACGTCCCGTGCCCCCGACATTCCCAACCAAGAGACAACTTTTTCTAGTTTCTTTTTTCATAATCATATATATACATATCATAATCATATCATAAAAGTCCAAGTGCACTCCAACATCGGCCGCGACCTGGTGAATATTACGGATGATGTCCCAACAAGAAGCCATTGTTGGGCTTCAAGAGCAGGATGGCCCAACTGGCTTCCGCACACTAACGGCTAACATGGACCGAAGGCGAGAGGTGAAACTTTGTCCTCAGCGACGAATGAGATTTCTATCTTCCTAGAAATGATGTTGTGGACCCTGTGAAGTGTTTTGTCAAAAGGAACCTCATTTTGAGTATAACTTCCAACAGTCCAGCTGTATATGCCGGCAGGCCTTTCTTGCTTCCAAGAATAGAGACTAGTGGCTTATTGCCTGTAAGAAGGGTAAAGCGGCCTAGCAAGTATCGATGAAACTTGCGTAGTGCGTAGACTAGTGCAAGACCTTCTTTCTCGAACTGACCATACTTCTTCTCTGTTTCCGTGAGGCTTCCGGCTGGCGTGGCTGATTGA